GGTTTTTCTGAAGAGCCTCATGGAGAGAGTCTTACATGCACACTCTAGAAAGATCTTCACTTTTCATTTGCGAACCTCAAAGCCTCCTCCGAAGCGGTTCTTTGTTACAAGTGAGGAAACAGAGACTTAAAGAATTTACAGGACCCAGAGTCTGCCCTGCTCCAGAGTACTGTTTGTTCATCCCAGTTTCTTTCCAAAGGCTGTTACTGAAGAGTTTTTTATGGCTTGCTAATTGAAGGGTCAGGGTACATACTGTAACCTAGCGGTCCCCAACCTTGTTTACACCAGGGATTGGTACTCCTATGAGAATCTAAAACCTGATGGTCCGAGGCGAAGCTGAGGAGGTGATGCTGGTGCTGGGGAGCGGCTGCAAATACTGATGAGGCTTCCCTCCCTTGCCTGACGCTCACCTCCTGCTGTGCAGCCTGGTTCCTAGCAGGCCACAGACCTGTATCTGTCTGTGGGCGGGGGGTTGGGGACCCCTGTGTAACCCCAGCGCAGTTGGATCATGGTAGGCATTAGGGTAAGATTTACCTTCCACATATTGCTGGCTTTTGTTAGGACCAGCTCCTCAACTAAACCAATCTTAGTTTAAAGGTTGGGGTATATGAAGACTACTAAAACCCTCAGAATGATCTGACTCCTGAGAGGGTCAGAAATAGCTGTTCTTTGCTTTTCGGGATGTCTCCTCAGACAGGTGGGCCTGGGAGCAGGAACATGCATGGAGCTCTAGTTCCTCCCCTGTTTAAGCTGTGTGACTTTGCCAGTCGCTTAATACGTGTTTGAAATTAAGTGAAGTCTGCCTTGGAAATACGGCCAAGCTTAATCAACTGCCTGATGAGTTAAAATTATAAAATTCCTTTTAGGCATCTGAGAAAAAAACATGGTTTTATCCATACACTTTTATGAATCATTGAGCTCAAGTTTATAATACGGGATGTTGGTATTGTTCTGCATGTACTTAAGATGGATTGCCTTAAAGAAAGATGTTCGAAAGTCTGGAATGACAGTGATTCAGAATGTCCTAGTGCAGTGCCAGTTGTGGAGACAGCGAGGCATGATGATTAAGGGCAAGCCTCTGAAGTCAGAATGGCCAGCTCCAAATGCTGCCTGCACCATTTATAGCTCTGTCATGCTGGGCAAGTTGCTCAGCCTCTCTGAGCTTCACTTTCCTCTTCTAAGGCAGGAATAATATAACCTGCTTTGAGGATTAAATTTGATAATCCGTAAAAGGTGCCTAATAGCACAGAGTCTAGCACAACGTAGCTGCTCGACACATGTTAACTAATAACTGTGATGTTTAAGAACAAAATCTTTTTCTTCTCTTCTCTCAGTCCAAAAGATAAAATGGTCGACAGTTGTCTTGAACTCCCTGTTCTTAGTTTTGACACTGCAATGTAGAGCAGTCAGTGATTCTTCTTTCTGGTCAGCAAGTGGTGTGTGGGGGTGGTTGGCAGTGATGGAAAACTTTGTCTAGTTGCCCAAGGAATTTACAAGAGGCTCGGGAACTACAGGGCTTTCCTCGGAGTTTCGCCGCTGTGTCTTTTGCGGCCAGCCCTCCAGTCATTTCTCTTTCCTTTAAATCTGAAGCCAGTATTCTAATGGCCAAGATGACAGGACATAGGAAAAAAAAAAAAAAAAACAACTCAAAACCAAATAAACTGGAGAAAAGGAAGCAAGTATTCTCTTTGCTCATTCACTAGCCATTTATAACATTAATGAAAAGTATCTGCTTCTGCGTGAATTGCGTTGGACCAGTCTTGGCAAAAGGGACTATTTCTTAGGAAAATAGCATCCCTTTTGGAGTCTGTTTAAAGGTAAGCCACAAAATTGATAGAGGAGGAAGGAGAGTTTGCGATAACATTTCAAAAACATTTGCTCAAATATGGTAAACTATGTATGATCTGAAATTTGCTAAACTAACTTTTGGAAAGTGACACAAAGACACATGGTTATGTTCAGTTAAGCTGAACAACTAGTGAACAACCAGTGTAGCTATTTGATATGTTATAAAACTTGGAAGCTTTTTTCATTTAGTAAATACAGGTGGAGAAATGGTTTCTAATATGTCAAGTTGTTTTTTGAAAGACCTCTTCCCCTGCTACTTTATAGTTCTTGATTTTGTTTTCGCATTTATCTTTTAAACGATCATGGGCTAAAGCACTGGCAACCTGATCATGTCTTTAAATACCACCCAATCTTGAAAGTTGTCACCAAGAAGTGCATAGCACTGGAGTACAGGGCGGGATTGCCATTGAAAGCCTTATATAGGTTCCTACTTTCAGATACAAAATGCAGCATTCTTCTCCCTCACTGGAAAATAAGCTGCACTATGTCACCAAGTGACAGCACGCACAGGGTTAGAAGCAAGGTTCCCGCTTTTGTGCATCTCACGCCATTTGTAGCCACTTGTTGCGCTCTGACTGGGAAGAAAGAAGCAGCTGCAGGGCATGCGCCAGACCTGCGCTGGGCTGTCGCTTCCATTGTAGGGAAGACGATGAACAGGCAGCCTTATTTTGGATCACATAGCAGCTTATTCAAAAGCATCTTGCACTCCCCAGCTGTTCCACAACTTCTTTGCATATGGGAAAGAACTTGCCAGCTGCTGAGGCAACTGTACTTACATTTGCTGCTTTTGTGCAGTAACCAAGGAAGGTAAAAATCCAGACGCCTTTGTTAAACTGTAGCCATTGTAAATAGTCCTATTTGTTTCTGTTATGTCAATGTTATTCCAGATATAGTCTGTCAGGGGGCAAGGTTTAAAAGGAAATGTCAGAATTAACATTTTTTTTTTTCCGAATAAATGCTTTTAAGGATAACCAGTGTATATAGTTTTTCCATACTTAAAATCTAGGCTGCTTTTGTATTTCATTCCTCAACAAAGGAATAGGTCTAATATTAAAACTAAGTGTTAGTTTTTAAAAATTGCCATATGAATCAGATTTACTACATACATTTTTCTATTGTGTGAGATATATGAAAGTTACAATGTGTGTCCAGACAGTGCTTTTTCATCTCCAGAAGATTAGGCTATTTTTCATTTGTTAGAGCTGGAAGGTACTTTGTCCACACCCGTTATCTGTGAGAAAACTTCAGTTTCCAAGAAGTTTTCACTTATCCAAGGTGACTTGGCTTTTGGTTTAATTCAGCAAATCTTCTGTTGAGTGTTTATAGTGTGGCAGGCCTGAAGAGCCTATAAAGATGAGTAAGGCCTTGGGCCCAGCCCCAGATAGACTCACATCTTGGAAATAAGACAAACGAATACCATATGAGGGAGGGCTTTCCTAGAGGCAGCACCTTTTTGTGAAAGCACCTCTTCAGGCACCTTTTTGTAATCATGTTAGTGTTATAATCATGTCAACTCACATGAAGCCAGAGTACCAAGTTGACATGCTAATAAAAATCGAGGAGAGGCTGGGTACAGGAAGATGGAAGAGGCACTAGTATATGGTTTGTCAAATTTTGGGTACATGTACTAAAATGAGAAGGCTTTGTATCTGTGTAGAGACCCCTATCTCTACCTTAGCCTCCCTGTCCCCTTACTCCTGCTCAGCACTAACTCATTTTACTCATTAATTAGTGTGAATGGAGGCAAATAAATGCCCTCTAGAAACTACAGCATAAATCACAACCCTTTATTGGGATTCAGTTAGCTTCATTCCCTCTGTTCTAGAAGAGGTTATAAAATAAACCGTAATTACTTGGACATGTATAAAACCCTCTGACAGTGAAGCTCAGCTAATTCTTAAGGGCTCTCGTACTGTAAACTGCTATTGCATCAGATGCCCCAGCGACTCACAGTTGCTGAGTTAGACTCACAATTTTGAACCCTTTCATCCCCGCTGGGCTCCATTTATACATTCATGCATCTTTTACTTCAGCCCTTTTGTGCAGTAATATTAGATTTTC